ATGCAGGTTTGAATGTTGCAGCTTTTACTCAGCGAACTGAAGAAGCTGGGCATCTTATGCACGTCCACATTACCAAGCAGCAGAATTATGACGCCTAATGTTATAATCTGCGACACCGACACGTCATCTGTCAGCTTGGCGTAAAAGTGTGGGTCTGGAGTCCTATCCGCCGCCATGGGCTATCTGAAAAATTGCTGAAAAGGTATTTGGTCGCTACAGAGTTTTAGGATGCCTCAGTGACGTTACCTGCGTGGTCGTTCCTGGCATCCCCTCGAGAGCTCGTGAGCACCAACCAGAAATCGTGCACGTGTCAATGAAGCTGTATTGTTTGGACTGGGGGCGGCATTTCAATTGGTTGCTATCAAATTCATTCCTTCAAGCTTGTGGTGAAACTAAGACTTTTTTAATCAAACTCACCTCTTTTACAAGTGTCGCTATTGTTTTGACATTTGCTGCTTTGTGCACATATCAGGTCGTTAGTAACTATACTACAATATGTTACACGTATTCTCACACCATGTGATGGCCAGAAAACGACTTGATATCACATTCAAAAAATCAACACTGGTGCATAAAAACTACCCAATATGCCATGAAAGCAGTTTCAGAGAATAGTAATTATTAAAAATGAGTGTACCATCTCTAAAGTCTGATTGTGAAAAAAATGTAGTGATTTGTGGAGTGTAGAACCAGTATATATTATCACCTGGCAAGAAGCATTCAATGTGTGCCTTAAGAAGCCTGTTTTAGGGGCGAAGCTCCTTAGGGCGTGGGCTGTGCGTCCCCTGTAGCCTGTATGTAGCCACCTCTAGTTTAGTTCTTGCAGTGTTCACTAGATGGCGGTACCGTCCCCTGTATGTAGCCACCTCTAGTTTAGTTCTTGCAGTGTTCACTAGATGGCGGTACCGTCTCCTGTATGTAGCCACCTCTCGTTTAGTTCTTGTAGTGTTTACTAGATGGTGGTACTTGTAGCTGATGATGAAAAGATGCAAGATGTTATAAACTAGAAAGCGGTACTTGTAGTTGATGAAAGACGCGAGATCTTATAAAATAGGAATGATGTCACATATGGCGCGTGTCATTGGTTGAAGGCAATCGTTCGATTTAGTGCGGCGACGTACGCTAGGGGGAGCGATGTAATAAAATCGAGTGGGCAAAATGTACAGAGGATTCATGGTTTACCAGGTTTACCTCCGGAGCTTCGCCCACTCATCATCATTCACTTCGTGGATATGGCGGAATTTTTTTATTAACTTGTGAGCAGAATATTGATCAAAGATGCATTACGGTGCACCAAGACCTATGATAAGTGAGCCGGGGTATCTCATTACAATGTAACTATGTTAATACATTTTTATTGCGTGCGATTCCCCAGTGCCGATGTTTACGATATCATCAATGGAAGCTGGGAAATGTTTTATTGAACTTGAATTGTGCATTTCCTCGTATAGTGCATTTTTTGATGCATTCTTTCGAACACTCATGTTGAAGCGTCTACTGTATTGTTTGTTATTAGGCAGTGCATGGGGTAAACTTCATCTGATATTAAGCGCCTTTCCATTGTAGTACAAGTGAAGCATAATTACTATGTCGAAAGGCTCAAAATATCGTGTACAATTAATTGTTAAAGGGAACACTGAAATTTGTATGTTTCATAATGTCAGCCTCCTAACTGCAAATGAATGTGGAAAATTTGTTCTGCGATGAACAATTCTGTCAAACGGAGTTGTAGGACTGTTAACCACATAGTCTTACACAAAATGTGTGTCAGTATGCTTTTTCAACAGAGCAAACATGTCCTGCACACGGAAGTTTTTTTTATATGTGGGTACAACTGTACTACTACCTGGCATCGTATTTCTGCCTTCAAGACATTATCACCTCACGTGTGTGCCAACCTACAGCATAATGAGACGGCTGTCTCATCAGAATAGAATTTCAGGCCTTCAGTGATACCATTAGCGTTTTATAAAAGGTGTATTTCACTATTTCTGCTGATAACACACCTCTATTTTTCTTCACTACTGCTCAATGTCTGGCGCACAGGAAAGCATGGCTGTATTACTCATGGCCAGTGCGTCTTCCACTTTGTAAACATCTAGTGCAGAATGTGTACACGACTTATTTGCATGATTACTGTTCTTAGTCGCTTCTCAAGTTCTTCTTTTGCTTACCTTGTCCTGTGTGATTGCCATGTACATTGATACTTAAAATCAATACTTTTCAAGTGAATTAGGTTTGACTGCGACCCAAAGCAGTAATTCAATCATTATACTGGGTATTTCAATCAAGCGTACCGTTCTGAGAGAAAAGCATTTCTAATCTCGTTCGCCACGCAGCCTGGCAGCACCTTCCGATTTCGCCGGCCTAGCCACACCCATATTCATCGAACAAACTGTCTGTATGCTGTGTACCTGTACCTGCTAAAAATAGAAAAAGGATGAATCAGCAATTATTTTGTTAATTGCGAATTCTCCCAACAATAAATGTCAACAGCAGCTATTTGCAAGTGAGATAATGACTAATATGTACAAACAATAGTTAGCTTAACGTTTCTCTGCAAAGTCTTTCTTGCTACTTTCTCTGCTACAGCTCTAGCACCTAGTGACCCACTGTTTAAAAAATATAAGATAATCAAAGTGAATGACCTATATCAATACAGACTACTACGAGAGTACTGCCTTAGCTGCAAACGCGCAAACTTTTTGTTTACGGAAATGGCGAATCTTTGCTTAAAGGAAAAGGCGTATGAAACAAGAAATACAGAAATGTGGAACGTTCCGTACTTTCGCACTAATTATGGTTTTCAGATGCTTCGATGTACTCTACCGCGAATTCTGAATACTTATATTAGCAAAGGTATAGATGTGTCTCTTTTAAGTGTCGCAGAATTAGCGGCTCTTTTTGTTCTATAAACTATGTAGCAAACTATGTTATATGTTCTATAAACTATGTATTTATTCAGGTGCAGAAGATTGCTGCAAGTTCCTTTGTTGTGTAAGCTATGTATCAACTACGTTTTCAGGTTTCCTTCCATTGTGGCATGATCTTTACGTAAAACAATGTGAAAGTGTATGATATTGTGATGTCCTTCATCTGCTGCCATTGTTCACAAAGGGGGCGGAGGATCCCTCAAGCCGTCATTACGGCTTTTCCCTCCGCCTCCTGTTACACTGTACTGTGACGAAGCAAATAAAGCAATCAATCAATCAATCAATCAATCAAATGCCTACTGCAGTTTCACCAAATGTATGATTGACTAGAATTGACATATCTGTTCAATCATGCTTTGAGTCTGTAGCAAGCTGACGGGAAGAAGTAGACTGCGAAAGGAATACGCGTATCTTGCCCCTATCGCCCGCACTTTCTGACTCTTGAACATGAAGCGCTTACTGTCTTTCAAGTATATAAACACCGAAGCGTTTACCTGGGCGCGGCCGGACTGGAGTACGTGACGCGCGCTCTGTTTACGGCCTGTGCACGGGCGGCGGTTGCTTCTTGCCGCCGCAACTCTCCAGGAGCGCTGCGAGCCTGGCCTTCGTCTTTCCACTTGCGGGGAGCCGCTGAGCCATTCGCTCGAGAGAGCCTTGGCGCACTCGTTAGTACGCACACTTTGCTGAATGGCTACTCCTCTGACAGGGATTTCACAATCGTGTTTTTGCGGTGACCGCTATAGGCACACAAAGGGATTAATCTTACCGTTTTCACTCACTTCAGGGAACCAGTATGGAAAGCTTAAACCATTGCATTTACCGCGCAGAAGGAATGGCACGTACCATTAGTGGTGCACGGCTGTAATATTTGTTACCGACAGGTGCAAAAATGAAACAAGGCAACAAGACATTTCAGTAAGAAAGTAGGTTTAGGAAGCATTTATTTTCATCCTAGAGGGGAGAGAATTCTGCAGTACTTGAAAATGTAAAAACAAAATCGCCCTTTTATTTTTGCGACATTAACAAAATCGGACACTAGAAAACATTTGAATGCTTTTATTCAATCTGTTCTCATTGCACTAACGAGACTACACGAGACGAAAGCAGAACATTTTAGAACTCTTATAACATCGCGCATACTTTAAAGAACTGAAAGCCATAACAGGTGAACTACAATAAACTCTAAAACACTGTCGTGAGAGTAAGTTCCAAGGACTGTCGTTTACAGCCTGAAATGCTTCCACGTTGGCTTGTGGAGCTTCGTCGATTATTAACGAAGCCATGTGCGGCTTGTGGCTGAAAAGAGACGCCTCGTGGATCATCCTTTTTTTCATTGCATTACTCTTTCCCGAAGACGTTGCTCTGGGACCGACGTATCACTGCAGTGTGCACTTATGTGGCAGTGTCAACAGCCCAGCTCGTGCATGATCATAGCCTTTCACTGAAAGAAAGCGCCATATTACACATTCTCTGATGACTTCTTTGGTGTAACATTTGAATTCATTCTCGTAGCCCTCTATTTGGTGGAGCAGGAACACAGCCTTTTTTTCCTCTTTTCCGGCATCTGCAGCAATCTTTTTCACTGATGCGTAGTGCTTGTCGTCAAGATAGGAGCTGATCACCTTCCTCACTGCGTCTAGCTGCTGCTAAACTTTCGAGAACTTGAATCGATGGTACGCCACTTGTGATCGAAGCCTTGCTACCAGTGAAAGGTATCGATTTGCCCGCTGCGCATCGTTGTGTGTCGTTTGTGTGCATGTACTTGATTTCTGATTGGCTTCACCTTCCGGCGTCTCCAAAACAGCATACTCTTCTGGCTCGGCCTTCCGTTTTGCTGGGTCCCTAGGAGGAATGGGTTCTCGAGCTTTCAGATCCCTACGTGGTTTCTTTGCATTACGTGCGAGGTAAGACAGATATCCCTCAAATACAGTCGGCACCGCACCGGGAACCAGCCTTTTGATTTCGCACTCACTGACATAGTTGCTCAGTAAGAAATGCTTGCTACATACTACCGTCGAGGCCGACGTGTCATTAATAACAAAATTTTCCCGGGAAATGTGTTTTCGCCATTTTGCGCAGAGCTCCTCGTCAACTGGAAACTCGTGAAACGACACACCTGGAGTCTTTCCGGACCGTGACTTACAAAATGGCACGCAGCAGTACATCATAGTCACGTTAGCGGAATCCTGACATGCGAAGCACGGCATTCATAGGCAGTCCCTTTAGAAGTTCGCCAACATGCATGAAAGGTCTGGTGCAGAAACTTACAGCGAAATGTCACTTGATGCAAGGCACGCGAAGTGCACGGCAGATGTGCAGGCAACTTCACGTGACGAAGCTTCCATTCACACGTGTAAACACCGTGATTAAACCAGCACGTGTAAACATGTGCCCGCGTGCACACTTACTCCCCGTACCAGCCCGTACTAAGCCGCACAAGGCGCTCGCGTAGAGAGCGCGTGCTCCAGTGCGGCCAGGACAAGGGTATGCTCGCGGCGCCATCTCTCGGAGATGGGTGCTTCGGCAGCTCAGAAAAAAATGCATTGCCCTCGCTGCGCCTGCTCAGGCCGTAAAGAGAGAGCACGCACGCGTACTCCAGTCCGGTCGTGACCTGGAACAGTCGCTACATATCACAGAAAACAAGAAACGACAGGAAATGCACAACAGTAACAGAGATGGACAAAGTGCTGACTGAAGAAAATGGTTTATAAGCACATAATTTGCCTGTCATTGTCCTGTGTCTCATGCTCTCTTTTTTGTTTCATTATGTAAACACATTTTTAGTGTTAAGCACTATAGAAATTTACCCTGTACAGTAGCAGTACAGCCTGCAATTTTTTTATATTGGGTAGAGAGGGTAGTGACTCTGAAGTTTGTTTTATGCATGTTCGTATATGCATGTTCGTACATACACACTGCCCTAGTTACACCACGCTGTGTAGTCGTACATGCATTTCGTTTTATGCATGTTCGTATATGCATGTTCGTATATACACACAACTTTAGTTACGTCCCGCTGTGTAGTCCTACAAGCAGTGATTGTTGCAGAAGAACCGGTACAAACCGTATGAATTAACAGCTTATGCGGCACGTCGTATTTCACACATGCACAAAGCTGTTTACCTCTTCTTACGTACGTGAGTATATCGGGTGCATCTACAAGAGAAGGCCTGTCTTCTATCAGTGCATAGTAGGCCACCTGCAGGGCGTAGATGTTCAGGCATACGGGTTGAAAACAGGGGTGACTCGTTATGCATTTCGCCCCCTCTGGCACATGGGCAGCAACTTTTGGTACTTCGTGGCAGCAAACAGAGATTCGGTCATTACCCATTATCCGACATCGACCACACGTGCACCTGCAGTAAATGAATATTTCAATGTATCCTGTACAAACTGATACATATGTCACACAGCCAGTCAACTTCAGAATAATACGATACGTGAGGCGAAAACTGCCACATGCACGTGCGCGTGCTCGGAAGTATTCGTTTGGCCGCTCACGACTGGCGAAGTAATCATTTATGTTGCTATTGACAGTGAAAGTACACAATCAGTGCAACAGCGTATAACAATATTTGAGAGGGCAGGCACCGAACGCCTACAGCGCAACGATGCAAAGAACAAAAAAATGTAATATATTGCTTCAATGCAAACCCTAGCTGTCATATAAAGTGTATTGAGTTAATATTTATAACACGATTATAACCTAACCTTCTAAAACGTGAAGCATCGCCACTTACCAGTCAGTATTACCACTTCATTGGACATGCTGTTGAACCTCATTGTCGGCCTCCGACACCGCATGGGCCTCTTTTTCTTCATTGCTGGCCACGGAATCAAAAATAAAATGATTGTCTGGATTTTCAATTAAGCCGCATGTCTCGCCCTCATCGCTGTTTTCAGAAAAAAAAGTCGATATCCTCATCGGGTTCGGACGCAGATGGAGATGGTTCGGAATCTTGGCTACTGCAGCTGGCCAATGGCGACTGTCAGTGCGTTTATTCTGCTGACGTTTGTGTGCCACGTGTGTGTGAAAGCAAACAAAACTCGGCACGAGGTGCGTCAAAGCTTTGTGTGGTCACGTCACCAAGCAACCTATGCATCGACGGCACGGCCCAACTGGGGTACACGAAACCAAAAATGGTCCACATAAACATCGCAATATTATATTATATGGTTGAAATACACGAATCTTGGTGCGTGTATCCTGCTTCCCGGAGGTGAAAGAAACGCGTATAGCAAAGAACACGCATGCCACAATTTTGGTGACACCATCTTTTTAAGCGCTACTTACACACTGTGACGGGCCGTTGGGGCCATCTGATATACTGGGTTCCAAGGCGGCCTAAGAAGTACGTCCAAACTCTTTCAAGATCAGAAAAGGACTGCCAGCCCTTTTTTATTTCACGTTCCTCGAGCACCGACGAGCTCAGCGCCTATATACTTAGTTTTCCTCACGCAAATGTGTGGGACACGCACCAAGCGACGTCTGCTATTGCTCGTCACATGCCTGAGTTTGGAAACTAGATGTCCCGATCTCATACACAAAACACCAAGACAGACATACCTAAGCTAACTGAAACAGTCCTATTTTTAGCTATTTACAAAAGTCAAGAAAACAATGTCTATCCGCTTTCAGGCACACAAAACTATATACAAGCATCAACAACTATTTACACCGCTCGGCACCCATGTACACCTTAGTCCGAAGCGTTGGGTTGCCCCATGTGAGCAATAGGGCTCAGATATGGTCTTAAGGTTTCAACATGCGCAATGTCACCTCCCGTGTTGTCTACGAGTTTGGTCTCATAGTTCACGGGAGACAGCTTGTTCACTATGTTGTGAGGTCCGGTGTACGATGTAGTTGTTTTCACAGCGGACGATGGAGCCATGAGGACCACCAATTGTCCCTTTTCAAACACAATGTCCTTTGGGTGCTTGTCAAAGTGCCACTTCTGTTTTTCTTGAGCCAGTCGGATTAGCGTGGCTGCGAGCTCCCTGGCTTTTGTAGTCGCTCATGCACTAGCGTGAAATTGTTTGATTCGTCTTTGAGCTCTTCAAGCTCTCGGCGGCTGTATACAGCATGTAATGGTAGCACCGGATCCCTACCGTAGATCAGGATGAAGGGAGTTTGGTGAACCGTGTCTTGGTACGTGGTGTTGTAACAGAATACAATATAAGGGAGGACATCGACCCATTTTCCTCCCCAGGCGGTAGTCATGGCAATCATCTGATTGTCCTATTGGCTCTTTCGCACAAGCCGTTTGCTGCGGGGTGATATGTGGTAGTGGCAGCATGTCTGATGCCCCGATGTTTGAGTTATGCTTCAGTAGACCGCGCAATTATTTGAGTACCGCGCTCTGTGATAATTCTGGCTAGGAATTTGTGTTCCAGACCAAGATGATCTGTCGTTCGACAAACTTCTGGACGGTCACGGCCTCTATATTCCGGAGTGGTTTCGCCTCCACGAACTTTGTGAGGTAGTCATTGGTTACTATGATGTACCTGTAATCTCTTGATGTTCTGAATGGCCCTATTATGTACATCCCAACTCTGTGAAATGGGCCGTAGACTTCTATTGGCTGTAAAGAACCGTAAGGCACCAATGTCGACATCTTCATCCTCTGACAAAGGTCACAGTGACGCACGTACCGTTTGACATCTGCATAAAGCTTCGGGCAGTAATACTTAAACCTAAGGACATCGAATATTCGCCTGATGCCCATGTGGCCACTGTATCGTCTTTCATGCATTTTACGGAGTGCCTCAGTTTGTCGTTGTGCAGGAAGGCGGAGGAGAAAGCGACTACTGACTGGGCCCTGGTCTCTTTTGTATAACACGTCGTTATGCGCTTTAAACTTCTTTTGCACGCGTTTTTGTTGCTTTCTCGTGCACAGCGCACCCCTAAGCATATCAAGGACTTTAGCGCAAAATGCACCCTGACGCTGCTCCCCACCCATGTTGTCACAGAATCTCAGTGATGGATATGATACTGAGGAAATTGGTTCAGCATCATAAACAATGGGGGTATTCCTGGAAAGACAATCTAATGCGCTGCGCAGAATGCCTCTTTATAGATGACATCAAAGTCAAATTCCTGCAGAATCAGCGACAGACGAAGAAGGCGTTGGTTTTCTTTCTTGCAGCGCAAGACCCAGCACAGTTCATAGTGGTCGCTGACAACTTCAAATTTTCGGCCAGTCAGGTGTGGTCGTGGCTCTTTTAATGCCCATTTTACTGAAAGAGCTTCCAGTTCTGTCGAAGAATAATTGAACTCTGCGCCTTCGAGAGATCGACTCAAGTATGGCACACGAGAATATCGCCGCTCTTCATCTTCTTGCATCAACAGACCTCCCAAGCCGAGCCGAGATGAATCTGAGTGTACTCGGACACCGAATTCTTGTTTTCCGGAGAATAGCTTAAGGACAGGCGGCTTGCGCAACGCGCATTTTAATGTCTCAAATGCCACTTGCTGATCTTCTTCCCAATTAAAAGTATCGTTTTTCTTTAGGAGTGATCGAACAGGTGCTGCGATAACGCTGTAATTCGGGATAAACTTCCTGAAGTACGATGTGAGCCCGATGAATGATAGTAGTTCCTGTACATTTTGAGGAGGCCGGAAAGCCTGATCCACTGGCAGTTTTGATGGGTTAGAAGATACACCGTCTTTTGTGACAACGTGCCCAAGGTAAATGATGGCAGTACAATAAAGAAACACTTCTGTGGCTTGAACTTCAAGGCTGCTATTTCGAACCTTGTAAATATGTTTTGAAGGTGCGAAACGTGTTCTTCGAATGTCCGGCTGAAGACAACGCAGTCATCCATATACACAAGGGCATTGTCGTATTTAATACCGTCAATGATCGTATCCATGGCTCGCTGACATGTGAATGGGACACCTTTAAGACTAAATGATATCCAGAGAAATTCGTAAAGACCCCACAGCATGACAAAGGCAGTCTTCTGTATGTCATATGAATGCATGGTGATCTGATAAAATCCAGACACCAAGTGCATAACAGAAAAGTACTTGCTTCCGGTGAGTGCCTGCAGCGCATCTTCAATTTTTAGGAAAGGGTACAAAATGTCCTCAGTGATGAGGTTGAGACGTCAATAATCAGCGCACATGCGCGTCGTCCCGTCTTTCTTTGCTACAAGGACAAGGGGTGACGCCCAAGGACTCCGA